GGACTGTTGATTGTCTGGGACTTGCTTCTTGAATATTAATTTCAAATGGCCTTATGACCAAGGACATTACATAGAGATGATGTCCTTGTTATTGCCATGTTTTACCTCCTAGATTGGAAAATCAGCAGAAGGATAGAAAATGTAAAGCTTCTCTTTTAAAGGTTCAACTGCCTATTTCTGAAATATCATTAAACAGTCATTGTAGAATTGTTTTTCTTAGTCACGTTCACTCTTTAATAATAAAATTCTTCAAAACCTTATGTTAAACCAGACAAATACTAGTAAGCTGTTTTGCCATACGTTTATTGTGTGAAACATTATATTATAAGCATTTTTAACAGACTACATCATGGCTTGGAAAGATGTTATGGATAATGTTTCTGAAGATTCTGGTTTACGGCGGTATTCGTCCCAAGAGCACGGCGTCCCCAAATAAAGCTAAGGTCCCAATTGGGAAAAGGGGCCCTGGCGGGTAGTTCCCGGGCTGTTTTTTTACCACTTTCGGGCGGGACACCGACGTGGCCCCGCGGGGCACCCTGCGGCTACCGGGCTATTTTTTGGCCCGTCGGGCCCCGATAGAATTTAATTCTGAGTTAAATTCTACCCGGGCCCCGCTGACAAAAAGACGCCGTGACCTCATCGTGAGAACACCGAGAGATACCCCTCCGGTTGCCGGCATTCCACCGGGATACATGTACATTTCTTACGTCACAGACCAGATGAACAGAATAAAGGTGTGTACTTCGTAAACCCGGGTAAAATGTGTGACCTCACAGATCAAATGATCACAATAAATACGTGAATTCTGCATTACGTATAGGTCAATACAAGACATCGTCAGAGAATCAGCTGGGTACCTGCCGGGTGCCTGCCGGAGACCGACCAAAGAGGGTGACAAAATTTTTAACAAAATGCTACTGAAGGAAACTTTAAATTGTGACCACGACAGCCGATGCCTGCTCGACTCCTGAACCCGGCCGGGGCCAGCCGGGGCTACATCCCCGACGGGCACCAGCGTAATTGGGACCTTAGCTTAAAACCTCCGTTATCCTCGTCAGAACTGACCTAATCTTCAAGCAGATATGAAGATTATAATTTAATGTTTTCTGATGGCCGGGCTTCTCTTACAGCTATCTACCATGATTTCTGACAGTCCGAAAACATCTAACATCTGCTTCGAGAATTAACACCTGATTGCCTGCCTATGTGCATAAGCCATTGATTAAGGTTTGAAAAACTCTAATTAAGGTTTGAAAAAAACTGTCTACACAACAAATTTCATCGTTTATTTTTATGCACGGGTAAAAACATACCTTTCTAGTGAGTCAGAATAGCTTCAGTTGGAACTCGAGCACAGGTTGCTGTTGTTCTTGTAGGGTGTGTTCTCCTTCGGTAGCTGATCCGTAATGACGTGTTACAAGCAACCCAAGGATGGTGTTGATTGTCTGAGGCTGGCTATTTGAATAGCATTAACATTTACAATCATGATAAATATTCTTAACGGATTGACGTACTAGCTACTACGTATCTAATACCTGCTCAGAAAGGAACTAGGAATGTCCCATGATGCCTTCAAATATCAGTTATCAATAAAGAATTCAGGTGTTCAAAAACTTGCATTATCCAAGAACTATCGTAGAGAGGAACTCGTTGCCATCAAGTACAGTTGGGGCATTATCACTAGGAAGATATTATTACCTCCATGAAATGTGTCATGGAGGTTATATTTTCAGTTGCGTTTATCTGTCCGTCCGTCTGTTGGTCAACAAGATAACTCAAGAACGCCTGGATGGATTGGTTTCATACTTGGTGTGTTGGTAGGGTGTGACGAAAACTGGAAATGATTAGATTTTGGGCCCCCTAGTGGCTTCCCTTGGTACTGCAGCGCAACTTCCGGTTTTGATATCTCGCGATCTGGACATGCTAGGGTCATGAAATTTGGATGGAAGGTAGCTCTTGTCCTCGGGAAGAAGTCACGTGAGTTTGGTCCCCCTAGCGGCTTGTTCTGGAACTGCAGGGTGGTTTCTTTGAAAATCTTCGAGAGAGGATAACTGAACAACCGTTTGATGGATCATCATGATTTTTGGTATGTAGGTAGCTTAAGTGATGCTTGACATAATCAAAATATAATTATGCAAATCAGGATCTAATTTGCATAATTAATGAGGAAATTCTATAAATCAGCTGTATTTCATATTAGGGCTATAAAACTCTATAGACATATGTTAGTGAGAACGACAAGATCATTGGCAGATATCGATTATGTAAAGGAAGACCTAATTTGCATAATAAATGGCAAATCGGTACAATTTTATGGTGGTAACTGCTGGGAATTTAATACTTGCCATAATTGGAAGTTCAGTGAAGGTGAACATCACTAAACATAATTTATGTCAATCAGGACCTCATTTGCATAATTTATGAGGAAACGCTAGAATAGCCTTATTTCTTAAGATAACCCTGTCATTTGGTGGAGAGTATGATCAATTGATACAATATATGCAAATGGCCTCATATGATTTGAATATATGCGGTGAAAAATGTAAGCCAATTACAGGTGGTCATCACCATGCGTAAGATTTATGAAAAAAAATACACATGTCATGGAGGTATGAGATCATCGAACTCTAGTTATTTATATTGAAACAACATTTGCAGTTACATGTAGATGTTGAAGAATCGAGCGTATGTATGTGATATAGCTATCTGCCGCCGCGGTATGTGCCTGTGAAGCTGGTGTGATACGCCGTAGGACGGTTATACCGGCACAGAGGCAACCAAACGAGAAGAGAAGCAAGCTAATCTATGCCTTCAGCTCTTGAAAAGAGCCGTTCAGCACTGGAAATCCAGTGCGGAGGGCTTTACTTTTGTATATTTGCACTATAATTAAGGTTTAATGACCCACCCCGAGGTGAATATGGTGCCTTGTCAGTTGCTATAACCATCGAATGAAACCACCGAGTGAGCGCAGCGAACGAGGTGGCTTTATAACACCATATTAACCGAGAAAGGGCGCGCCATTAACGCTATCATCATATAGCCTATCAAAATTTACACAGTAAAAAGTGACACATTCTTGTATAACACATACTAACTTAAATTATATAACAAACCGTTACAGTCAATCCTCTATCTCCCCGTCCGTTGGCCACTGTCCCTGTGAATCTTTCCCCGATTCCAAGGACCCACATATTGAGTCTAAATTAGCGTTGCTGTGTGCATTATTCTGCAACAAAGCACACTTGTGAGAATAAAGCACACTTGGGATGATTTTGCAATACTTGTATCATGCTAATTGTGACATTATGGTGTCATAATCGATATGGAATGGGGGCTTCTGAATGGTCAACGCCACCTGGCTATATGATAATAGACAATAGTACATGTCAGAACTTGTCATAGAAGAACTGATTGAGGCCAATTTAGACTCAATATGTGGGTCCTTGGAATCGGGGAAAGATGCACAGGGACAGTGGCCAGCGGATGGGAAGATATAGGAGTGACTGTAACGGTTTGTTATATAATTTAAGTTTGTGTGTGTTATCAGGAATTTGTCACTGTTTGTTGTGTCAGTTTTGATAGACTATATGATAATAGCGTTAATGGCTCGCCCTTTTTTCTGTGAATATGGTGTGATAAAGCCTTGTCAGTTGCTATAACCACTTCATAAAGCCACCTCGTTCGCTGCGCTCACTCGGTGGCTTCATTCGGTGGTTATAGCAACTGACAAGGCTTTAAAACACCATATTCACCTCGGGGCGGGTCATTAACCCTTACTTATAGATACTAGCATGTGTTCCAAACATGTTGATCTGTATTTTATTATTGTTATTTCATGTGCTAATGGCCTAAAGTAATATACAAAAACGTGCTCATATAGCTGGGCTGAACTGTAGTTGTAGCGGCGTCTGTGTTACACAGACGAATATATTAATCTCAACCAAGAATCTGCTAGGTATTTTATTATTATTGTATCATTATTTGCAGGGTCTGATGTCATCGATGGTTACCTCGTCAAACTGGCCCAGCTGTTTGCAGAACCTGGGAACGAGGATATCTTTCCCCCAGAAGGCTCGTTCCCAGATTTCTTCTCGGACGACAGCATCGATGGCCTGTTCGGTGGTGAGTTGGGGTTTCTTGAGATACCTTTCCAGGGCTCTGTATCTGTACCTGTATCTGTATTAGTATAGCCGGTTTAACCGGCGGCAGCTAGCTATATCACACCGAACGACTTGTTACACTCAATCTTTGCAGGAGTTGTTTAAAGCTTTTTAGTAACGATGCCCCAACTGTGTTTGGTGGCAACGAGTTCCAGTCTACGATAGTTCTGGGGAAATACGAGTTTTTGAACACCTCAATTCTTGGTTGATAATAATTCTGATATTCGAAGGCATGACTGTTTCTTGTTCTTTTCTCGTCTGGTATCAGATACGTAGTGGTTTCTACGTCCACCAGTTTATTAGCCATTTCGTAAATCATGCACAGTCTGAACATTCTTCGTCTGTCTTCGTCTGGCTCAGAAACGAAAACAAGGGTCTGTGAAGTACGACTTGCGGCATTTTTGTCTTAGGTATGGAGTTTGATACCTCATTTAACGACCGAAATGGTTACATTGTCTGCTTAGAGTCCCTAATTAAACCCAGGCGCCGGATCAGAAGCAACCTATGGCGTATACAAGGGACGTTATAACAACTCGGCATCTCCTTTAAAATAAAGAAAAGCCTAGTAGCGCACACCCACAAAATTAAACCCATCGAGTGTTTTCTGATATATCAGGCCACACCGTCTTAATTTTATGGATGACATCCTCTGAAGACCCCCAAACTAGTGCGCGCAGACGAATGAAAAAAATCCGGCCAAAAATAAAAATGCTACTAAACCACAGGAATACAAAGCTGGTTTTGTGAATTTGCGGCAGTAGCGACTTATACGACAAGCCTGCACATGCTGGCTTTTTGCGGAATTTATTAATCGGCAAATACGTACATGTATGTACTGAGTTCTTGAATCGTGAGCGATATCAGTGAGCGTTTTGGCATAGGTATTGGTATTGGCAGCCGAATTGACGTCAGCGAAAGTTAGACATCCAGGTAATAAGATACGCAAAAAAAACTGTTACTCAAGCAACTGGATATTATTTTGGAAACGGCCAGACGTTTTCAGTAGCATCCACTCCTTTTCGTCAGTGACTCACAGTGACACTGTAGAGTTGTCAGAAAATAGGTTTATAACTAAGTACGAACTATGCAAATAAGTAAGGGACAATTTTTTTTTGAAAGTCCAAAGCGAAATAAAAATTAGACAAGTCAAGACCTGAATGATGCAGGGATGATGTACAGGGTATTAGGCACGAAAGGAGTTTAAAACCGGGCACTAAGACTGGTACGGGGCTGCGCCTCGTAGAAAAAAAAATTAGCTTCATATTAGGGGGCTCCGTAGATCTAAAATAAAATGAGCCAAGATTTGGTTCTATCCTTCATTTGAACTTTTTTTCTCCTTAATAAAAGTTATTGATGTTTTCCAGGCTTCCCGCCGCCACTGTTTCCCACCGAACCAGGAGAAGACGTCTTCCCGCTGGAGGGCGCTTTTGAGCCACCGTCATCGCGGGCAAACATCGAGTCGTATCTAAACTTGGGATACACGCTAGTGGTTAGTCATTAACTTTATCCTGTGTTAGGCCACACCAATTTGATTTGTTGGTTCTCGAATTCAGAAAAAAAATATGAAAATATCGACAGGGCGCAAAAAAATTAATTAAAACAGACCTTGGATGCTAGGATAGAAGACATGAAATCAACATACCAGGTTGGTTTGTAATTCAAGCAATGAATTTAAAACTTTTTTATCAAACCACTGTATTGATAGATGGAAAAACTGGCAACAACTCTGAACAGAAGGGACTTCCTTCAGCTGTTGTGGCAAAAATAAGACCATTTTGGAGTTGGTTCTGAGGCTGAATAATGTTTTCTTTTTTTTTTTGGCAAAGGGCAAATCCGTGAACCTAAAAATTTAGTTGGTGTTGCCTTAGTTGTCTTTTCAAAATGCTATTCATACTCTTAGGTATTGCCTCGCATTTCTTTTTTCAATACGCACATGTATGGCAAAAACCTTGCGATCAGTTTTTACCATGCTCATTTGTTTGTTTATTTGTTTGTTTGTATCTGTTGTTCTTGGTTAACATGGCAATGTCATATGTTTGTGTATACATTTTTTTTACTTCTAACTTTCTCAGACCAACGGATCCTTTGTCGGGACGAACCTGAAGTACGGCCACCAGTATGATCTGAAGGTAACATCTAAAGTCCTGCATGTCAAATATTAATACACCATTGACAAAAAATAGACTAGAGTTCCGCGATTTCATACCTTCGAGAAATGATGCTAATCTTTATGACGGACAAATTATAGATGATTCCCCATGATTTTGCAAATAGGATCCTCATTTGCATGAATTATATCAGTTGATCGTATTCTCCAAGAAAAGAAAGTCTTATCTTAACAACGAATACCATTCTAGCATTTCCTCATAAATCATGCAAATGAGGTCATTATTTGAATAAGTTATGTTTGATGATGTTCACCTTTACTTAACTTTCAAATACCCTGATATGAAATTCTAGGCAGTTACCATTGCTGAAGTACAACATTTTCTCATTAATTATGCAAATTAAGTCTTAATTTACATAATCAATATCTGCCTGACTTCTCTCGTTCTCAATTGCATATGCCACAAGCTTGATTCAGACGTTTGGTTTTGCTGTTTCTTTCCTTTGGGCAGGTCTCAGTCGTTTCCAGTGACGCCATCGGTGTTGAGACGAATGAAATTTTGCTGTCTCCAGGTGGGTGATTGTCTGTTTCGGCCAGAGAGGAAAGTTCCATATGAGGGAAAGTTGTAAAAGTAGCAGCACGTGAAATCGTGTACTTGAAATGAAATAAAAGGAAAGCATAGCTTTACAAGACATGAGTAAACAGGGCAGTTTTACATGAATGAATGAAAAGTTTTAAATTATTTGATCAGTTTGATCGGATATGAAAAGTACATCGCTGTCCTTTTAATGTATTTAAAAATAGCATTGGGCACTTTACCAATTAGCTCTAATCTTGTCGTTCCTTTTTAACAAAATCATATTTCAAAAGCATAAGAAACGCTACCTTAAAACCGGGTAGGTTGTACCACGAAGTCGTTGTAAATCAAACATGTTTTAAGTCTACAGTTGGCATTCACAAAGTCACATGGTCTAGTGTTCGTTGAAGCATGTTTGTATTTTTTTCCAGATTGCTACATGACTACTTCTGACTTGGAATTCTGTAAGGAGCAATGTGAGTTATCAAGATACATGAACAATTACCAAACCCTGCTGTCTAACCCTATAAACGATACAAATATGGTTATAGCTATATGTAATAACTCATGTGAGTTCCGAGTGGGTAATTTGACTTTTATACTGTCCTTTCAACGACCATATTTGATTGAGATGAAAAATAGTGATCTTCCATAGTTTTCTGTATTATGTCAACGTCCCTAAACACATGTTCCATTTCGGTGTGTTTGTTTGTTTGTTTGTTTGTTTGTTTGTTTGTTTGTTTGTTACATTGTGTGTCCGTAGAGTTTTGGATACAGTAGAGACTGGCAGGAAGGTCAAATTGGAGGAGACAATGGTTTTCTCCTCGGCTAGGCAGTAGCATATTATGCACATAATCAGTTAATGATCCGCCCAAGCAAAACTATTCTAAATGCTTCTCGCATGTTTTCTGTTGAATAATGTTCTGTTTACATCGGTATTAATAGTAAAATTATGCATTTTCCACAGCCATCATATTCTCCAGTGCGCCTGCGCACCTCAAAGTTGCCAACCTGTCACGTGAGGACTCCGAGAACGTCACGGCGGTGGTCACGTGGTCCCGGCCGGTCCAACATGGCGGCCCGATCTTAGGTTACTTCGTACGTGTGACCTTCGCCGGCACAGATGACCTTGCGCCATGTTCCCCTGGAGGATATGTTGACTCAGTAAGTGTATCTATATTTTATAATATTTTTACAAATTCAATTATTCTACTCGTGTCAGTTTCAGTTTCAGTTCAGTTTATTACGATACCCTTTAGCCCGTTAGGGCTAATCTTCCAGGGCTCATTTCACATTACACAAACAGTACAAATATACACATATGACTACAAATTTGCATACACGTTGAGGTCACATGTCAGACAAGGTACTAATTATAGCTATAACCATAGAACGACCAAATTATCGGCGAAGTATAAAGACATGTAATGATTAAGAAGATGTATCGCTACGAAAATGAACAGAGAAACGTCGTAGGAAAACTAATTTTGAAGTCATCTTCTGGCTGGGTCTATATGAAACTGCCATATTACAGTACGTTTGCATAGATCATTCGATTAGATGATCTTGCTTGATATAAATAATACTATACTATTATGCAAACATACTAAAATCAACGTCATCAATATCGTGAATGACCAGGCCCATGTTACCAATATGAATATCTCACAGACCACTGTGACCGGAAGTGACGACATACCCTTCGTCATCCGCAGGCTTGAAGTGGATCAGCGGTACCGTGTGCAGGTTGGAGGTTTTTAGTACTTTCACAGAAATAAAAAGTTTATTGCAAATACATGCCCGAGAGCTAATTGTAGGTGCAAACAACATGCATGAAAAAAGAAACTACAATGGTATGTGAGAATACATCTAACATTATATTCTACAACATACATGGTACTAGTTTTGTTGGGTTCGACTCCTTCTTTTACGGCAATGGAAGACGAATTATTTAATTAAATATATGGGCTATTTGATTTTAGTAGTAAATTGTTTTCTCGTGGTAGGGGATAGTGGGAAAGCAAGGGAGTATTTCACAATAAAAGAACTATAAACAGATTATCAATTTTTGGCCAATACTTGATACCAAGTCTGCCTCTTTTATTTACTAACTTTAGATAAAAAGATGAACGGATATATTCGTTGACTGACAGTGGATTGAAACATAATTCTAAAGTACATGATGTGCATTTTTTTTTTTAGATTTGATGAATATAACTCACGCATTGCTGTAATACTTTTGTTATCTGCTAGGTGACGCCCCTGATAGACGTTGAGAGGGCTGACACCGATACACCCTACGGAAATCCAGCTTGGGTGACCTTTGACACCACGGGTAGGCTACAATCACTTATATAAGGTCATGTTGATTTGATTATAGGGATGACATCCACGCGGGCATTAATTTTTGGCCGTTTCCAGAAAAAAAACGTTTTCAACTATACTGTAAATCGTACAAAGCAGTTACAAAATGAGCAAATATATACAAGTTGCAAAAAAAATATTTGGAAACAATACCAATGTCGTAGAGTGCCAAAATCTAACGAAAAATCTGTATCTGTATCTGTATAGCCGGTATAACCGCATTTCGCCTTTCCAGCTTAAAGATGAAAAAAGATGAAAAATTTAAAGAAATGAATTTGAAGGGTAGATAATCCGCCATACCATACTGTGTCATTTCTTCAAGCTCACGACCACGTAGATTTCATAATAAAGGCAACTTTTTTTTGCAAAACCTTTTTCATTCGCACGCCCGCATCAGTTTTGGAGTTCCCAGAGGATGTCATCCATATAATCAAATCAACATGGCCTAATGCTGCAATACACGTATACTATCATGAAGTTTGAAGATTCAAAATTTCTTTATACATATTATGCACTAAAACAAGTACGATTCCCTCTCGCAGGTCTCCCTGATTCTGATTGGTCAACACGGGGCAACATGGAGGAACCGAGGGCAGGTCACGTGGCAAGTGGGCAGCCAATCACATCATCGATGCCTGTCAGCCTGCTCCTGATGATAACATTATTGTTTTTTGTGATGTATATTTAGAGTTAGAAAAGACAAACAAAACGTACTTCGTTTACAAACAAAACCTGACTATGTTTACAAACAAATCCTACTTTGCATAGATCAGTGGTGGTGTGTATCGCAAATACAACGCGTTCAGAAACTGACAAACATACTACACATTGTCTGACAACGCTTAAAGTTTCGGATGCTGTGTACGCAACTTTTTGTTCGTCTGACACTCAAAAGATGATTTTGGATGTCATGCTTGAATACGAGTATTTGACGCTGTTTTTGTTGTCTATTTTTTTCCTTTACCCATACTTACGGATATGCGTTTGAAATATTCAATTACTTCAATTGTTTGTTACATTTCTATGTCTTGGGTCGTCGTAAACACTGTGTGCCTTCTTTTTGGCAGTGTAAGGTATGCGCATTGGAATTTGTTCATGGTATATATTTTAATGTGATAATTGCTAATAGAAAATACGAGGTATTTACAGTATAAATAAACAACCAAACACCTCATCAGGGCAACTTTAATCTACTGTATCAACTTTACTTTATTTTACCTTCTCCAAGATGGTTTTGTTTATTGTAGCGTTTGTGTGTGTGTATGTGGTCCAGCACGATAACTCAAGAATTTATGAATGAATAGTCGTGAAACTTGGTAGATGGATAGGTCTAGGTGAGACCTAGAAATGCTTAGATTTCGGTACCGGCGTATAGAATCGTTGTTTTTACACATATAACATTGGCTGTCAAAATTGGAAGAAACTGAACCGGAACATTAAAATTCCATTTTCTAAACCTTCGGGGTACAGAAATAAAAATTTCCATGTTTTAAAACGAGTGTTTACAGTATTTATTCGTTACCTTTAGCACACATCCTTCAAGTTTTGGTATGTTACTATGTCGTTAAACACTTGTCGCTTGACATACATTTGACACACGTTTGACACATGTCGTTTGACACGTATCGTTTGACAAAAGTTGTCAGTTGACACATGTTGTTTGACACACGTTTGACACATCGTTTGACACATGTCGTTTGACACATGTTGTTGGACACACGTTTGACACATGTCGTTTGACACATGTTGTTGGACACACGTTTGACACATGTCGTTTGACACGTATCGTTTGACAAAAGTTGTCAGTTGACACATGTTGTTGGACACGTTTGACACACATCGTTTGACACATGTCGTTTGACACATGTTGTTGGGCACACGTTTAACACATCTCGTTTGACACGGTTGGCAAATTTTGTCGTTTGACACACGTTTGATACATGTCATTTGACACACATTTGATAAATGCTGTTTGACACATGTTGTTTGACACACGTTTGACACATGTCGTTTGACAAATCACTTGACACACGTATGAAACATGTCATTTGACACATGTCGTTTGACAAAATTTGCCGTTTGACACATTCTGTTTGACACACTTCTGATACATGTTGTTTGACCTCCAAATTCAAGATGGCGGACGATTGACGAATGTCGCCAATTGGCGTAATTCGGAAATTGAGTTTGTCTGTTGCTTTTATCCTCCTTCTCACAACGTGCCTGATCATGATACAACTTATTGACGTGACGATGATGAAGGTTAGACACCCAGATAAACAATATTCAAAGCTGAATCAAACTCTACTACTGGATAAGTTACGGAGATTCCTTCCGAACGTGTCGAGTGACATCCTTCTTCACTCTTCTTCATCGTCACTAAATAAACTTTTAAAAATATTGACGCAACATAAAGTACAGTGACGTTCGTAACTACAAACTATAAACTGTAAAACACTAAAACTCTACTTACTAAACAGTAAGGTGTAACCAAGGAGGCTATATTTCCCTAAAACTACTTTGGCTACCAAATCTGTAACGTCTTGTTACGATCAGATGGTGAGTTTCAGTATCTTTTCTAATACCAAACTAAGTGTTTTATACGTATTTACCTATTTTACATTGCTTTATACTTGGCAAGCTACTACATATAACATTACTCTTTCAGATTCATCAACGATTTTTCCTTGCTCTCCTTATTCTTGGCTGCCTGGTTTACTGACAGAGTGTCAGGCATCGGGTAGGCTGACGTGTGGACCCGCCGGGTTCTGACTTTCCGCCGCTGGATGAAGGCGATGAGGCGCAGGCCCAGGTACTCAAATATCTCCAGTAGAGTCAGGATGCTGGCTCCGATAAACAGACCCATCTGGCCACCGAGATCACCTGGAAGGGGAGGAGGGATATTTATGTTATGATATTTATGATATTTATGAACGAAGAAATATTGTTTCTGCTCTGTTTCTTCCTCTTCGTCCTCTTCTCCAAACAGTGACCTCTGATCTGACCAATGACATGGTTTGTTGACGTCTGTCCCCATGGAGACTGGTGTTGGGTTACATAATGTTGCAATTTCACGGTCTGCTCTGCTCCTGTCACCATATAACGTTATTAGTAGTAAATGTATGTGAATGTGTTTGAGTAAGAATTAACAGAGAGCAGACCACGTCTGAAGGTAAACATCATGCATTTGCTTTGCAAATGATACTTCTCTGTTTTTTATGAATGAACTTTTGAATGAAGGAAGGAACGTTATTGTACATGGTATCATATATATATGGGAAATTTTTTTAAAGATCAATCCATCCTACATTTAGAACTAAAACATTATGTTGTCTCTCTTTTTAATGAAGCACAAATGAACTAACTCAAACAGGCAGATACTAGGGAATTGACATGACACCAGTACATGGAAAATGGAAAAAAAAACTTGAGTGTGCCGTCACCGCGTCTTGCGATCACATATTGGAATATAAAAAATAAATAAAAATTATATAACACGTAACGCCCACCGAAAATGCTTCTGCATGCTACAAAATTTTTGGTTGATAACTTGAGTATGTCTTCAGTGTCAATGAAACGTCACGCTGAAAAAAACAGCTTATATTTCAGGGTAAAAGAATAAAGTTACAAGGCATCACCATCTCATAATAGTGAATGAAAAGTGCACAAGAATCTCTACTTACTGGCCAGCTGACCGCTGTCCATGGCCTTTAGCTGGGAGATGATTTCGTAGTTCAGTTCTTCGTAGTAAACATCAAAGACGACAGAGTTGTCTCTGTAGCAAACATTGCAAACATCAGGCATTCTTAGGCATTAGTTAGATATACCTGGGGGGTTAAAATGTGTTGTAATTTGTGGCTGACTACATTTAGGCCATAACAATTTAATTTGTTGGTTCTCGGATTCGCCTCTTCATTTTCTGATTTGCAAAAAGAAAAGATTCTGGTTCTGAATCAACTAAAAAATGCTCATATTTTGCCCCCAACAGTTGCGAAAAGTCCTTTTCTTCCTACTTGTTACAGTTTTTTTCCATCTATCAATGCAGTGGTTTGATTTAAAGTTCAAAATTCTTTGTTTGAATATTAACCCTGCCTTTTGTGTTGACTTTATGGCTCTTATCGTAGCATTGGGCCTATAGTAGGATGCCTAGGCCTGTTTTTATCTTTTTAATTTTTCAGTTTCGCCCTGTCGCTTCATATTTTTTATGAAAAAAATCGAATTAAATTGGTGTGGCCTTAAAATCATTTCAAGCCGTTTTTTTTTTGTTACAATACATACTGTCATACATCGATCTCCATGTTGTTTAAAAAGCGACGTCATTGAATTAGGCCCTATGAGCAACTAAGGGCTACTAGTATCTATCTACTTCACTAAGGCCATGTTGATTTGATTATATGGATGTCATCCTCTGGGAACCCCAATACTGATGCGAGCGTGCGAATAAAAAAGTTTGGCAAAAAAAGTTGCCTTCATTGTGAAATCTATACGTGGTCATGAAGGTTGAAAAAATGAGTAAAACACAAAGAGTATGGTATGGCGAATGATGATAGACTCTTCATTTTCATTTCTTCACATTTTCTTCTTTTTCTGTATTGATTTCGGCATTCCAGAGCTATGTCATTAATATTGTTTTCCAATACTTATTTTTGCAACATACGACATATTTCGACGATTTACAGTATGGTCGAATTTTTTTTTTTCGAAACGGACGAAAAGTCTTGCGCGCGCGGATGGCATCCATATAATCAAATCAAGATGGCCTAACTAAGGCCTTCTTACCGATCCTGTGACATGCTAGTTTGAGTGAAACTACTACAGGGGTGCCGGAGTATACAGTGCACTTTTACGGAATACAGTGCAATTTTACGGAATACAGTGCAATTTTACGGAATATAGTACAATTAGTATACGGTGCAACTTATTGGAGTACAATGCAATCGTATTAGCATACAGTGCAATTTTAATAGTAAAAGTGTACTATATACTAGTAAAATTGCAATGTATTGTATTCCATAAAATTGCACTGTATGCTCTGGCACCCCTGCACTGCACACTATGAAAAATAAGGATGACAAAGCGTGACGTGTTAGATATGATGATGCTAAATGAAATGAGGTGAGAAATGATGGTGTTAGTGCCAGTGACGCACGTGCACAGCCAGAATGCATGCGCCGTGTGAACGGGTGTGATGAGAACTACGTACGGTGAAGTTTCGGTGCTTTTTTGGTGGGGAAGGATTTTTTTGTCATTTGCTTACGCCAAGTAGTCTGGCTCCAATTGAAAGATTGGAGTAAAAACGTTCTCGACCACTTGATTAGGCCACTTGGCGAAGGAGACTGTAGGCCGATATCTCGTCATGTGGCAGGGTACGGGGCAGTGGCAAGGTAGCAGCCCTGACGACACTTCAGCTGCAATAATAAACAAGAAAACAACTCAGGCACACACACAAACAAACAAACAACAATGTCTCTTACGCCATGTAGCCTGGGCTCAGGCCAAACGCCGTGGTGTAGACAACGTCGGCTTTGTTGTTCGGCCATTTGGCGTAGGAGCTCGAAGTGCGATAGGTCATCAGGCTGCAGGGAACGGGGCAGTCGCAAGGTAGCGCTCCTGACGTCACCGCGGCTGTGGTGATAGCAGACCATGTAAAAAGCTATGCAAATGTTTACATGTTGTGAGATAGGTACAAAGAACCCTGTGAAGCTCTGATAATTGCATGTACATTTTCCCGTAAGTAAAGTCTATCTTGATTTACCCATTGTCCATGGAAGGGATGCCGCCATCTTTGTGTCGGCCATCTTTGTGTCGGCCATCTTTGTGTCGGCCATCTTGGTGTCGGCCATCTTGGTGTCGGCCATCTTATGTACTTTCCCGTTTGAAATGTAACCTTAGATTTTCTCCTGGTTTCATTTTAAAATGTCCCCTTACTCAGCCACTGTAACCTGATCTGTTCTTTATTATATACATGTAAGTTAAAGCGTCACTTGTCCGCTAATATCGGAGTACATTTTAAATGCACTTTTCCACACAAGTGTTAGTTATAATGGTCAGCTAATGTCACACTTACCCTCCACGGGCCGCACACAATGAGCGACATCAGCTGGTTCACAGTACGGCGCATCACCTGGCAAAGGATTTAGGATATATCGAATGGCTATTCTACTTTCACAATCAATGGATTTCTCTTTTTTCTCTTTTATTCGCTCGCTTTCTTTCTTTCTTCACCGTGACACACACACATGCACACACACAAACGCATTAACACATACATACACACACACACTCACACACACACTTAAGCACACACGCACAGAAACGTACACATACATACACACATACATACATACATTCATACATAACATACATTCATACATACAAACATACAAACATATATAACATACATTCATACATACATAAATACATACGTCGTCTTCTTTTGCCGTTCAGCTCATGAATACATCATCACGCACACATACTAGTACTCAAGCACACACGCAAAGACACATACACATACATACATAAATACATTCCTACATAAATAACATCCATTCATCCATCCATCCATCCATACATACATACATACATACATACATACATGCGTCTTCTTCTTTGGCCGTTCAACTCTTGAATACATAATGACACATACACACATATTGTTTTTCTGTCTTATCTTTGCAAGTTGTTTGAAGTTACCTGGCAGGTAGATGGGTCTGCAGGTGCAGTTCTGCACCACGTATTTACTTCTGCACTCCAGCTGACAGCCCGTCAGGGTGTAGGTGTCGTAATACTCCAGCTGCAGGTCCTGACAGACCCCCCACGGAGGGATGTGGTTCTGGTACTGTGGAGGAGCAGATGTCGTCACATAAAAATATAGTATTCGTGTTTTTCCCTTCGGGTGTGTACAAACAGATACTGAGCTGGTCGCTAAAGATGTACATTTGCAAATATATTAAATATATTTCGCAAAATATATTCCACAAACACCCTACTTTTGAAAATCGTAATGACAATTTGCCAGCTCAGCTGGTACCAGTATGCGGAATTTGGGGTTCTGGCCCATAGACTAACAGTTCTGGATATCATAAGGCGGCACATGCAACACAGTTTTCTATAGTTAAGGACCTCAACGTGACTCACTTCGACTCACTGGAAATCATAGTAGGGTGCACAAGCAAAGTCCAGAATTTTGATATGTTTAAATTCAGGGTATAGTGTACAAAATATGTGAAAATCAGTTCAGGTTTGCCGGCTCTTCTCACGCCCTCTTCTATTAGCGCCACTGCGGAGGTCATGGAACTGCAGCCAACGCACAGTACTAGTCGGTAAAAGTATTCAAGCGCAAATTCACGCTGGCTGAACACGCACCATAATTCAACTTTTACAGTTTCAAAACGTATTCCTCTGACATTTGCCACAGGTTCCATCTCGATGCCATGCACAAAACAATCTCTGCAACTTTCTCTGGTATTGTGCAGCACTAATTTGCACCCGTACTACTTTTGATACGGGGTTCGCCCATGAATACTGTGTTGTGCAGCCATAACTGCCGTCCCACCTGTATCTGTCTGATGGCGATGTAGGCGTGACTGCCCGGTGCCACGGCGATGCCCTGGGTGTCCATCTTGGGCGGCTCGTTCTGATCGTGCACCAGCAGCTTCAGTCCCACGTCAGCCGTGCCGCCAGGCAGCAGCGGGTTCTCTGTGTACAGGTGCTGCAGGATGGAAAGGTGTTAGTGTTTATTTAAAGGCATCCAGTGCAGTTTTTAGGGCTTGGAAACCCGATTTTTCAAAGTCAATATTCGATATTTCTAGTCATTTAGCTACATACTAAGTTGAAACAACACTATCCCCATGTGTATTGACCCTCATGGAGCAAACATTTCCAAAATTCTGATGGAAAACGGTTACTGGAATGGCCCTGGGCTATTTCAAGGGTACCTCCCAGAAAAAAGGACTCATATTTGGGCTTGTTTCTGCAGGTTTCAATGCCTAAAGTATGAATTGCTGATTTAAATGTGCTAATGTTCTTGATTGCCCATACCAAGGTGAGCAAAGCCTGCCCATGTGGCTTGTGCATCTCTGCCTGTTTTTTTTTTTCATGTAATGTAACACTTGGCGCTGTATGAAAGTTTTAAGTAAAGATACATCGTTGCTATACGTTTTTCTCATCTTCCAAAGCAACTGCTCACGATACACATTCGAAGTCCTGAGGTGTTAGAAGTTTTGCCATTTTATATTGTACTTGCAATTGGAATAACATCACGTGCATATAGGTTCTATGTCATTATACATCACTGTGCATTTGTGATGCAAAAAGAGCTGAAAATTTGATTTTGTAAATCTCTAGAAAGTCATTCGAGTACGTTATAAAACTTGAATTCAACTCTTCAACTCACCGATTTGATGTCTATCATGACGGAGAGCCCGTAGCCTGAGCCGGGGATGGTTTGGTTGATGGGGTTCTCGGGGCTGGCGTTAAACGTGTAGCAGTTTCCGTACGTGCTGAAGGAGTGAGTGAAGTCCTGTGCGGGGATATCATGGTCAGATAACGCCTAGCTTCAGTACACAGTAAACCAGTCACACCTAGCTTCAGTGCACAGTGAACCAGTAACACCTAGCTTCAGTGCACAGTGAACCAGTAACACCTAGCTTCAGTACACAGTGAACCAGTAACACCTAGCTTCGGTGCACAATGAACCAGTAACACCTAGCTTCAGTGCACAGTGAACCAGTAACACCTAGCTTCAGTGCACAATGAACCAGTAACACCTAGCTTCAGTGCACAGCAAACCAGTAACACCTAGCTTCGGTGCACAATGAGCCAGTGACACCTAGCTTCAGTGCACAGTGAACCAGTAACACCTAGCTTCAGTACACAGTGAACCAGTAACACATAGCTTCAGTGCACAGTGCACCAGTAACACCTAGCTTCAGTACACAATGAACCAGTAACACCTAGCTTCAGTATAGTGAACCAGTAACACTTAGCTTCAGAACAGTGAACCAGTAACGCCTAGCTTCAGTACAATGAACCAGTATAAACACCTAGCTTCAGCTAGTGTACAGTGAACCAGTAACACTTAGCTTCAGTACAGTGAACCAGTATAAACACCTAGCTTCAGTGTACAGTGAACCAGTAACACTTAGCTTCAGAACAGTGAACCAGTATAAACACCTAGCTTCAGTGTACAGTGAACCAGTAACACCTAGCTTCAGTAGAGTGAACCAGTAACACCTAGCTTCAGTACACAGTGAACCAGTAACACCTAGCCTCAGTGCACAGTAAACCAGTAACACCTAGCTTCGGTACACAATGCACCAGTAACACATAGCTTCAGTACAGTGAACCAGTAACACATAGCTTCAGTACACAGTAAACCAGTAACACCTAGCTTCAGTACACAATGAACCAGTAACACCTAGCTTCAGTACAGTGAACCAGTAACACATAGCTTCAGTACACAGTGAAGCAGTCAGAATTTCCCTGATGAAGATGGCAGACGGTCATCGAATCCTCGGCTCTAGTAAGCAAGTGGTTGTGGATAAAAAAATCTTTGATATTCACTCATTGACCAACCAGATGAAATTACTTACGAATTCTTTCAACGGTGTTTCAGTGAGCGCTCGATGCAGGTCATTGCAGGTGCCCCTATGATCTTTCGACGGTCTTGTCATGGTCTATTAGATGATTACCAAGGTCTTTCAGGGACCTCGCAATATTCCATAGTCATCTAATAAAATCTCAAAAGTTATCTTAAAAAGCTGGCCTTGCACCATCTAAGTTTGAGCTTGTATCCCAAACATAACGGAAGCAAAGCTATATAATTTAAGGTGGGGATCTACACACAAAATCGTTTGGGGTAAGTCCCAGTTCTGTATCTAGTGTTGGAAGTTAAAGCTCAGTCTTTATTTCATAATGATTTGTACCAACACAGATGAACTTTCATGCTAACACAAAAAAGTATATTTACCAGTTCTGTGCAAGTTTGTCCCATCCACGTGCACACATGCATGTCGTTCCCGAGTCGGAACCCCTTCTCTCGAGTAATGCTGTCCACGGAAAATGACTGGAAAGTAGTTCAAGTTAGATGTCATTTTTTTCTTTAGAACCGTTGAGTTCCTGTTAGGCATTTTACTAAGCATTTTAACGGCAGGGCTAACTGGACAAGTCATGTTGCATACAACTGGAGTTTTTTCCTCAAGGCCTGAACTGGTTAAGGCGGCAATTTTCTGTGTGAACTGTAAAAATCTCCCCATCCCTTTCAGCAATTTAGCCTCTCCCAGGCTTCGGGAAAAGGTACAAATTGGCCGAATAGAAAGATAGCATTGCTCCGCTAGAGAGTACGTTTTGCTGTACTCGGGTGCGGCAAACTATTCTCTACTCCCAACTCCCCTTGCACGTTAGCTCTCTACATGGCCTTTTTGCACTCTTTCCGGCCGTCTCCCGAAGGCTGATAGCTAGAAGCTAGCAATTTCTCTCAATGCATTCAAATACCTGCGATCACACAAGAAAACGCAAATACGCACATGATCACACTACCTAGTGCACAGAAGTAATAAAAAAAACAGATAGAAAATATACGGCTTGCCCTAATAAGACTAACCCCATGTGTGTGCGGAGCTTCTGTCCGTGGAGTCTCTGTCGTGACGTTGGCGTCTGTGCTGTTCGGGGTGTACTTGTTGTTTACTGGGGCACCCGCGATGACGTCAATATCCTCCTGGACCCCGTACAGAATGTAGGAGAGGTAGTGCTTCTCCTCAACCGTCAGCGCTTTGTCTTCAAATCTGTGAGGGAGTAAGAATGAATGATTGATGGAAGGAAGGAACGAAGGAAGGAAAAAAGGTAGGAAAAAGGAAGGAAGGAAAAAAGGAGGAAAAAGGAAGGAAGGAAGGAAGGAAGGAAGGAAGGAAGGAAGGAAGGAAGGAAGGAAGGAAGGAAGGAAGGAAGGAAGGAAGGAAGGAAGGAAGAAATTAATGTGTAACTAACTAACTCAATGTCTAACTCACAAAACATGGTTGACCACTGTCAGAGGGCAACAAAATTTGTTCTTCCTCTTCCAAAATCAGGCAAATTCGAAAATTAATACGCACGCTGATGTCATCCATAAAAAATTAGGGCTGTGGCCATAGCTGATTTTGTGAGTGATTTTTGTTTGCACCTTTTGTTATTATCATTATTTATTAATGTGATTGGTTAGTTACTGTTTTTCTTTATTGTATATATTGCCATTATCATTATTTATTGTATCCTAATTCTATTGTTTGTATGTGCCTGTTGTGTTTTCGTGTTGTGATTTGTTCTGTTCTGTAAAACAGGGCCCCATTGAAAAGAAGTGCAATCACTTAATGGGCCACCCTGTATGAAAATGACGGAAATAAAATAAATGAAATAAATTTTCTTGTAGCATCTTTTTTTTTTTTTTTTAAACTCACTTGTTTAAGTTACAGATGGTGACGGCAGGAAACCTGACCTCCGGCACGAACTCCAGCGTGACGTCAGTAACGGTGCCGTGTGTGAAGTAAGACTGCAGCCTGAGACGGAAATTGTGTGACAGGATTATTAGCACAAGTTTCTGTGGAAAATTTACACATCAAATCATTGTAAACCTGGGACGATTATACTGATAACAAGAGTTATAGAATAGAACATAAGGCACTTAAAGGCATCCGGTGCAGTTTTTAAGGCCATCCGCCAACTGTTCACACAATATGAGTCCTGTGATTAGAGTGTGAATTAGATATATCTTTCATTTGTACATAATGTAATAATGTAAATTTCCTCTTTATGTCATATGTGTATTTTTAACTATGTCATCTGTTGTTTGTATTGTATGATCTTTGTATGAACCCTGGAAGACTAGCCGGTTTTGGCTAAAGGGTATCGTAATAAAGGAATAAAGGAAGGCTTGGAAAACAAAGCCAATATGCTAGTCACTTATCTACATACTGGGTTAAAACCACAACTATCCCAATGTATATTGACTCTCATGAAGCAAAAATTCGAAAATTCTGAAGAAAAATAGTTACTGGAAGGGCCCTGGGCTGATTTTTAGAGTACCACTCAGAAAATAAATGACTAATCTTGGGGCTTGCTTCTGCAGTTCTAAATGCCCAAAGTCTGAAATGCTGACTCAAATGTGCTAATGTGAAGCAGTATGTGTAAATATGACAAAAATTGCCTTATTCACAATATTTCCAGTATTGCTGTCCTGAAATAGCATTGATTGAAATCAACCAAATCGGGTTGAAAAATGCCTAGAGAAGCTTTGTCACAGTGTCGTTTTGGGCCTTGGTAGAGTCAGAGTCGCAAGTTTACCAACGTGCCATGCTGAATTGCATGGAACTCACTGTTGATGCTTGTTTGGTATAAGTAATGTTTGCATACGTCTGCCTACATATATATATGTCCAAGCCGGGACGGATCATAAGAAACTGCAGACGTGGAAAACACATTGATGGATTACACGTACTGATGTCGAAACCAACGAAGACATAGAGAGAATTGACAATTCTTTGTCATATTTACACAACAGCTTGACAATCGGTACACATGATTAGAGCTGTACAGTTGTTCGTTACATATTTACACCTATCGCCGAGTTTCCAAAGTCTAGGGGTGCCCATTCTAGAACCTTCACCTTAATTAAGCTGTTTGGGAATGTGTTTCATATAGACTCAATTTGCATAATGAAGGGGAAAATTCTGTAATTTTTCATAATAGAAAGCTTCCATACATGTACTGTGTGTAGTCTATGGCAAGTGGGACATAACAGATACCAAATATGCAAATATGACCTAATTTGCACAATTTGTGTGAAAATTCTATGATTCGTTAATGCAAATGATAGGAATGTTAGACCTTGTGCACATTTAAAGGTTAACATCACCATATGCAAATATTATGTTAATTCGGAGGTCATTTGCATCTTTAAATGAACACAATTTTGTAATTGTAATTGAAACCATAAAGTAAAATAGATTACGACCTTCTTTCCATAATCGATGGGACAAATCACCAAAAAAAATTCAAAAATTCTACCTATTTCATGAAGGTATATTTCTGCGAATTCTTGTTGTTGTATTACCGCTCTGAAATTGCATTGCCTGCGTTGAATAATCTCCAAGCAGATCTTTCGGTGGGGTAGAGACATTGCCAAATTTGCCGGCCTGTATCCATTTGCCAGACAGACAGTATCCATTTCCCAACTGAAGCTCTTTCGATGGGGGAAAGACAGTATCAGATTTGCCAGCCTGTATCAAATTTGTCAGACAGTTATCCATTTGCCAGACAGGGGAAATGGATACTGTCTGGCAAAGGGATATTGTCTGGCAAATGGATACAGCCTGGCAAATTTTACACTGTCTTTTCTCCACCAAAAGATCTGCTTATAGATTATCAGGGGTGCCAGAGTATACAGTGTAATTTTACAGAATACAGTGCAATTTTACTCGTATACAATGCAATTCTAAAATTTTACGAAATACAGTACAATGATCGTATTAGTATACAGTGCAACTTTACGGAATACAGTGCAATCGTATTAGTACACAGTGCAATTTTACCAGTAAGATTGCACTATATACTCTGGCACCCCTTATTATGCCTTGACCGGTTCTGAGGAACAAACATGTCGATACGGTACTCACATCTCCACCATGAGGATGAAGAATCCGATGTAAGACGCGAGGGTAGCGAGGGTCCAGAGTACACGGAGGGGGATGTTAGGGGCTGTAGCAATCTGGAGAAGGACATAACTATGTAAGTGGGTGTGCAGAAACGCTATATTGGCGAGACGGCAGTGTGTTCGGCCTAGGACCTAGAGGTCCTCATTCAATCCTGTCCTGTCACCGATCCTGTGCCCTTGTGGAGGTAAAAGGCGGTGGAAGGAGGAGGTATAAGCTATATATAATAAGGCGGTGGAAGAGATGAGGTCCGCTTTCCAATACTGACACAGTGGAAAACAACTCGATGCTCCTACAGCCTTAAAAAAAGTTACTTCACCTTTATCTATCCTAAACGATACCTTATCAATGGTATTTGTTCATCGGCAGTATCGTTAAAGGAGTACTAACCTCCAGAAGGAGGTGCTATATTTCGACAGGCATTTATTTTTGGAAGTGAAAAATGCATATTATTTTACAGTATACCATTAAATGCCCATTTTGCGCGCAAGTCTTAAAACGCATCGAATCCAGGACAAACTCTCGAAATACCCTCAAAACTATCCCAGAATACACCACGCTACCCCATTGGTGTCTATGTTTTAAACAAAAAGTTACGTTACAGACCTTATTTCGGGGGCGATAAGAAAATTTCGTGCCGTTTCGTGTTCTTTGGTATCTTACCAACTATTGTCCTTCTTGGTGTCCTTATCGCCCCTCATTTATGCCGCAAATATTGACGATGAAAAAAACGGCGTAATCTAGTTATCCTTTCCATAAGTGGCGTAATCTAATTATCTCTTCAAGTAATACTTACATGCAAATAAATTGAGAAAATCAAAACACGCATGATGAAACTGGCTCCCACTGTATTCGACACCCTGATATTATAGTATCCAAAACGCAGGTCAAGCAAAGTAAAGCAAGTAATTTCTCAATAATCAGCTTGTTAATGTGCTTGTCTCCTACCATTTTCGCCGAAAAATGTGTATGTTGACCTGAAGTGTATGAGTATTGCGTAAGCCAGAGTTCCCGGATGCATCAATTGTGGTTCAGCATGGGGGAAAATGATATTAATATCACTTTACAAACATGCGCCGTGCAAGACGCACAAGCGAAATTATGTAAAAAGTCGGCTAGTTATGTATTCATTGCAGCATGATGTATCGGAAAACAGCACTTCCTTCTGGAGGTTAGTACTCCTTTAATATAATTCCAATGGTATGCTATCGATGTTGTTGACTTATGCATATCATGATAATGTTATTTTGTTGGTTATGGCTGCTATTGTCATTGGTCTTGAATGTTAGACCCAGTGCTACCTGGAAAACAAGCTAAAAGTACCTTAGTGTACCTTCTCTGATTATATAAAATGAATACAAATATAATACTTATCAGCTGCTATGAAACTTCGAAAACTGTGTACATTAAATGGGCTGACATATTGGACCTCAGTAGATTATAAAACCTGTAAAGTACTATGATTTTAATGATATCAGGTACATGAATATGGGATTGTAGAGTATATCAAATGCATGGTGTCAATCATTGAAAGGTACAAGTCTGTTTGTCCTCACCCGGCCTATTCCGTGGAAACTGGTGGTTGTAGCGAAGACGTACTCCGGAGATTCCGGCCAATCGTGTCCTTCGTCTGAAGACATCGGTGTCTTTATCTTAGGCATCTTCAAGACTACTGAGGTCTCTCTGGAAGACAAGAATAGCAAGCTCAGCTCCAAGTTCAGACTGTTGTGCTCCCTAGCTGGTCGCTTCAATGTTTCTGCAAGTTTGCGAATCCTAACGCTAACAGAAAAACTTGAGAAAAAATACAGACGACATAAATAAAATCCCTCTGGAACATGCTAGCGATCTCATGCAGAGAACATATCCTTAGAATTTTTAATGATTGAATACGTCAATTTTAACGTTGTATTATATTGTAACGATTTTAACTGTAAATGTGTATCTACTTTAGTTAGACCGACACGTCTGTAAAATCGCCTCACAATTCAGCCCGTCACGGCTGCCAGGAGGCTTTTATGACACATCTAAAGTCCTAATAAACCAGTCTACTACTACTACTACTACTACTACTACTACTACTATATATATACTAAGGAAGTATGAAAATGAGTCAAACAACTCTTATATACCCACATGTCACGATCGTCGGAACTGGCCAAAACCATCATGTAAAAAGCAGTACATATGCATGGAGGACGGAAGAGGGGTAGGCAATGGAAAAGGTAGGAGGATCTGTATCTGTATAAGTATAGCCGGTATAACCGCCCTTTGGCGTAACACACCAGCTTCGCAGGCACGCTGTGCGGCGGCAGCTGGCTATATATTACACCGAACGACTTGTCACACTCTATATCTTTGCACATTTAATTGCAGGAGTTGTTTAAAGCTTTCTAGTGATGATGCTCCAACTGTGCTTGGTGGCAACGAGTTCCAGTCTACGATAGTTCTGGCAAAAAAACGAGTTTTTGAACACCTCAATTCTTGGTTGATAACTCTTACTATCTGCATGATATTTGAAGGCATGACTGGTTTTTGTTCTTTTCTGGGCTGGTATCAGATACTTACTGGTTGGTACGTCCACCAGTTTATTAGTCATTTTGTACATCATGCATAGTCTCGACACTCTACGTCTGCGTCCATAAATATGTTATAAATTTACGAGAGACAAACAAAAAACCTACCGGTTCTCGTAGAATTTGGTGTACGAGGAAGGAGCTGTTACACGTCCCCGCCTTTTACTCTCTGTAGCAAAATGTCTACCTACGTGTTGGTGCCGTCTCCCGCAATCCCCTGCAAATAGTAACGGTCAATTTGAATTTTCATCTTCAAGTGCCCAATCAACATATTGTGAATGGGCGCATTTGACGGGTGGGTAAATATTGGTGCGAGTCTCTTCAAGTGTGTATGACACACACTACAATGGTGGGGGTGGAGGGTGTTGGATTTTTCGGGCTACGCAAACTTTACTCAGTGGATGACATACTCTGTAGGACTAAACATTGACGAAACAGTGTTTGAAATTATCATGAAAGTTCATCTGTGTTGGTAGTAATTATAGTAAAACGTTGAACTTTATAATTATTCCAGTTCACTGAACAGGACTACTTTTTAAGAGACGTTAAGGAGGCCATATATATCAGAGCACTTCAGCCTTCACTTAAAATAGAGATGGTGGACGATATAAACTCCCTGGCACTTTTGATCAATTGCTTACGTCACGTATCAGTGAAGTCTCGTGTGAATAAGGTCACGTGTCTGTAAAACGTAACTCTCGCGAGATCACGTTGTGAAGTGATTGGTCATTAATTATCCTGATGAAGGCGACAGTGCTCGCTGAAAATTTGATCTCTCTGTAAATTGTGTGTTGGAATAAAGTTCAACGTTTTACTATAGTATTTAATAGCATCTAACTAAATGAATAGTTAGCTCGTTTTCCGTGCTACCGACTTCTGACAGATTTTTTGACATGTTCGGTTCTTTGAGGGAGGGGGGAATCAGGCGAAAATCAATGCGCGCGCGGATGTCATCCATGAAATTGAATCATTGTGGCCTAAGCACACATCCCGGCTTGAAGGGTCTTTTCAGCCGGGTGACAAGTCTTGCCCCGCGCCCTCACAGGCCAGAGGACAAGCCGTGATTAGATGAATGGTTTATTTCACATTTCACTCACATATATGATATGATATGATATGATATGAATCTTTATTGCATGTTCTTGCCCAGATGGGCTAAATGCACAAGAGGACATGCAGTATGCAAAACATGAGTATTACATATATCACACTTGCAGTCCTAAGACTGAACTATGGTGATATAATACATACGTTATCATAGACATATACAATATATTTCTAAAGGTTAAAATATATAATTACACAAGAAATTTATCAACAGTTATTGCACTCAAACACACCAAAACTTCACCTTATGTACAGTCAAAGTATGCAAGATAAAATAAAAACTGGTACAAGGCATCCAATGCGATTTCAAAGCAGCAGATCTGGAAATATTCTGAATAAGGCAGTCTGTATGATATTGACACACACTGCTTCACATTGGCACATTTTAATCAGTATTTCATATTTTAGGTACTTAAAACTGCAGAAACAAGTCCCAAGACGAGTCCTTTATTTTATGGGTGGTACCCTAAAAATCAGCCAAGGATCCTTCCAGTAACCATTTTCTGTCAGAATTTTGGGTATTTTTGCTCCATGAGGGTCAATATACATTGGGATAGTGTAGTTTTAACTTAGTGTATAGATAAATGACTAGAATATTGGCTTTGAAAAATCGGGTTTCTAAGCCCTAAAAACTGTCCTGGATACCTTTAAAAGCTACACGTTCGCGTAATAAAAAGGGACGTTGTTATTTCAAACAATGATTTAAGCGTCTTGGAACATTGTTTACTTCAGAGTGTCAGACAAGACGTCGGCGTGTGTATCCTTGTGTGCCGGGCTGTTGATAGAAGCTGATGCGGACAGACGTGTGGCTGAATGCGGGTGTCAGCGCCGGATGTCGGACACTTCGGCACCTGGACACTTCGGCACTTGGACACTTCGGCATCAGGACAGTTCGGCACCTGTACACTTCGGCACCTGCACACTCCGGCACCTGGACAGTTCGGCACCAAGCTCAGGAAGGTTCGGCACTAAGACGACAGAATGTTACTGTTGGTTGCTGAACCGTTCTATGACTTCCAGGAAGATAGTTATTATGTCAAAAAAAAAGCAAGGAGTGAATAAGCCATCCAATATGTTATGCAGAACAGATACCCAATCCTGTTATTATTTCATCATTGTGGCTAATAAATGAAAACAAACTTTGAAAGTTGTAACAGGAAAGACATATTAAGGTTATAGTATGTCCCTGTTTAATGCTATTTTGATGCAATATTCATCTTTGTAGACTGTTTACCATTAATGTTTTGACGTTTTTTCCCGCCCGTGGACACCTCCCTAGCAACAGTAACTAACAACACTGGGACCACAACACTGCCTCTTCCATATTGCTTTTATTGTTGTACAACAAAGTCGTTGCGTACTCGGACGTAGTAG